TTCATTTGAGAAGTGGATTTTGAAGGCAAGTTCTATAAAGCCCCGCCTAGAAAAAGAGACTTTAAAAACTCCATGAAAATAATGATAATTTCTTTTATTTGTGCAAGTGATTTGAACCACTGAGATTCACTAGTAATGAAAAGAGGATTCCGTGAATCTGTGCAAGAACCGTGTTAGAGATGACAAATTCACTGGCTTTACATGCTGACCATGCTATTTTTACAGTAAGGCTGGTCTTTGACTCCTCGCTGAAAAAGGGTGGAGGGGCCAAAAGAAACAGAGAAGTGGTGCCTGAGTAAGGAAGGAACCTGCCGCTTTGCCTCCTGCCTGTTCTCTGAAGTTCCTGCAGGGATTGCCAGTCTGAGTTGTGAAAACCTGTCCGTGAAGGACTCGTCTTTCCCAGGCTTTGCTCCTATTGACTGAGCATTCCCTTCACAAATAAGTCTGCTGGTCCACTTTTCCAGCTATTTTGTCTTAAAAGAAATGTTCTTTTCATGTGTGAGCAAGTCAAACTCGCCTCATCCAGCGAAGCATCATGCAGAGGTCTCCTTTGATACGCTGTTAACCTCTGCTGGCAACACTGCCAGTACCTAGGAGACCGCTTGAAGTCAAGCAGAGTCTCTACCCTCCCCTTAACTCTGCTTTCAAGTACCCCTTTGAAACTTCAGGAGATATGATCAAAACAGGTCGGCAGCTCCTTTGCCCTCGTACCTCTAACACCTACCCCTGGGCACAGCCTTAGTTTTGTAAAATCTTGAGAAGGCCAGCTCAATGTAAAGATGATTTGTTGCTGAGTTAAAGACGATCAGAAGCAAAGTAGCACCTCTAGCCGTTCGTGCTGCTCTGTCCCAACATTTCTCAGCATACAGAGAGAGGTTGAGCGGGGAGGAGAAGTAGCGGTCTACCAGGAACAAAGCACCTTGGCTGCTTGAAGCTACTGCAAGCTCTTGGCAGACGATAAAAAAGGCTCAGAAGAGTGACTCAGGCCTTCCAGGGGAAAAAGGTGAGACTGGTTGGGATCAAGTAGTGCCAGGAAGGAAAAAGGAGAAGGGCGGGGAGGGGAGGGGAGGGAAGTGCCGTTGGGAGTTGGGAGACGCACTGCTGATAGATGACCCGTCAGTCTGAAGGTGACTCCAAGCCCACCCAGCTGAGAAGCAGGGCCCGGCATCCAGGGAAACTGGTCGCACATGTAGTTGATGAGGTGGGCAGTAAGCCAGCAATTCTTAAACCGCAAGGGGTGTGTACACCTACACAGGAAGAGTACGCACGCAGACGATACATTTGGAAGCAAAAGTCTTGAGAACTGTTAAATACAGTCCAAGGATATTTACTTTTTAAATTTTTTTTGGCTTCCTTATACCATGTAAACTCCTTGGTCGTTCAAAATTCATATACAGTAGACGTGAAGAACTAGGAAAAGCCAGCCAAAACTAATGTATTTTTCTGCATCCAACAGGGTAATTTTCTGAAATGAGTAGATGACAACTTCTGTGCGTTCACAAACAGTGAAAATGTATTAGATTGCAACAGTTTCAAAATAATTGAGATTTAAAGCACCTTCCACTCCTCAATACTGTATTGCACACAGTTTTTTCTACATATGTAGCACAAAATTGCCCAAATTGAGATCCCCACAGATAACAAAGAACAGATTTTGCACTGGCATGCATGAACTACCTCTGATAGCATGTTTCTACTTGTTTCTACCCTGCAAGAAAGGCATCAGGACGTTGCAATTTTGTACCTATTTGGGCCAGCTAGTAGTTAAAACTTGCCGTGGAAATGTTCGCTAACACTGCTGCTCCCGGTTGAAATCTTTAATAAAGATACCATTATCTTTTCCTAAAAGCAATGCTGCAGATATTTAAAAAGGAAGTACCCTGACCAGCTAGCACTACCTGAATGGCACATTCATCTGTCTGAGGACTATTTTCCCTATGCATTGACAAAAACTTCTAAATAAATAGGTATAAATTTTGTACAATAAACAGGTCTAAGATTATTCTAATCATTGTTTTAAATCTCCAGGTATTAGAGCTCTAGACATTTTTATGTCCTGCCATCGGTCACTCTACATGGACGTGGTGCTTTTATTTAGTTAATCCTTTAAAAAAGTCCTGTCCCAGTTCCTCTTATATTTAGGCAAGCACCCACATTTTTGGTGGGGTACTGTGATCAAGATTAGTGGGCTAGAGAATAGTAACATGCAAAGTCAATGCTCAGCCAGCCCCGCTTTGTTCTGCATGACTGACCTTAATCCCCTCTACATCCACAGCCCTAGACTGTGCACGTCAGGAAGATGTCAGAGCAGCAGGTCGCTCGGCTTTGTTTCAATCAGCAGCCGAAACTGATACCGTATGAACAGCTTGCAGCAAAGTTATCTAAATGCTTAGAGAAGAAATTCATTAAAGATTATCTTTAACATACTTGAAAAATAAATCCGTACCTTTATCTACGTGGTACAGGGAGAGCAATTTTCTACGTATTAGCATAATAATCACCAGAGGAGTAACTCCTCGCTCATATTGCTTGTTTATATCATTTCAATATCTTGTAGTCTTGAGAATGCACATTTTTAGCTTTATTTTTCTGTCCTGGATGTTTTCCTTTATACCTTACATATTCAAATCCTAGTCATTACTTTTTTTCATGCACAAAACATATCGGAGTTTTACCACTGCGAATTCCAGCTACTAGGATGTACAGCAAAAGCAGCATCGGCTAACACCTCATCCACTGAACTGGCAGTCATCTCTCAACGGCTACGTTACAGGCCTTTGGCCTAACCTAAGCAAAAAGGTTGGGCATCTCTGGGTTAAAATGAAAGCACCTAGTAAGAGACTGTCTTTACAGAGCAGGATGCCTATCCACGTGAGTAAAGAAGAGAAAAAAATTACCTTTCTTCAACAGTGGAGAGGACTTGTTTTGGCTATAAAAAGGGTCTTCATTTTTTGCCCTTTTCATAAATATAACCCCCAGTCTTGGGCCAATACAAACACTACAGAAACTTAATATTACTTAACCACGGTTATAGTCTTAAAGTATTTACAGATGGCTAATTGCTTAAGACGGATGTAAGGGTTTTACATTTAAACACGTTTTACACACTGACATCGTTGTACAAACTGTCAAGGAAAAACTAAAAAAAATCACAAAAATCACTGATCTATTACAGTAAGAGAGCTTCTGAGTATATGAATACATGAAGGTCAGAGAAGAATATAAGAAGGTCAAAGAAAGTGTAGCCCCCTGATGAGCAAGACTGGCAAACTGGTAACAACAGACAGGGAGAAGGCTGAGGTACTCAACTTCTTTGCCTTGGTCTTCACTGGCAACCTCTCTTACCACACCTCTCGAAGGATGGACTGCAAGGCAGGGACTGGGGGAGCAAAGTCCCTCCCACTGTAAGAGAAGATCAGGTTTGTGACCACCTGAGGAACCTGAACATGCATAAGGCTATGGGACCTGTCAAGATGCATCCCAGAGTCCTGAGGGAATTAGCTGACATAGTTGCTGAGTCACTCTCGGCAACTATGAAAAGTTGCCGAGAAAAGTCATGGCAGTCAGGTGAAGTCCCTGGGGACTGGAAAAAGGGAAACATTGCGCTCATTTTTAAAAAGGGTTCAAAGGAAAACTGTGAGAACTACCAACCTGCCAGCCTCACCTCTGTGCCTGGGAAGATCATGGAACAGATCCTCCTAGAAGCTAGGCTTAGCATAGGCTAAGGCACATGGAGGCCAGGGGGGTGATTCAAGGCAGCCAGCATGGCTTCACCAAGGGCAAGTCCTGCCTGACCCACCTAGTGGCCTTCTACAATGGAGTGATTACATCAGTGGACAAGGGAAGAGCTACAGATATCGTCTATTTGGACTCCTGTAAGGCCTTTGACACAGCCCCCCACAACATCCTTCTCTCTACATTGGAGATACGGATTTGATGGGTGGACTGTTTGGTGGATAAGGAACGGGCTGGATGGCCACATCCAGAGGGTAGTGGTCAACAGCTCGATGTCCAGATGGAGACTGGTGACAAGTAGTGTCCCTCAGGGGTCCATACTGGGACCGGTACCATTTAATATTTTCATCAATGACACAGACAGCGAGATCGAATGCAACCTCAGCAAGTTTGCAGATGACACCAAGATGAGTGGTGCAGTTCACATGCCGGAAGAACGGGATGCCATCCAGAGGGACCTGGACAAGCTGGAGAGGTGGGCCTGTGCGAACCTCATGAGGTTCAACAAGGCCAAGTGCAAGGTCCTGCACCCTGGTCAGGGCAACCCCAGTATCAATACAGGCTGGGGGATGAAGGGATTAAGAGCAGCCCTGCTGAGAGGGACTTGGGGGTGCTGGTGGATGAAAAGCTGGACATGAGCCACCAAAGTGCACTTACAGCCCAGGTGGCCAACCATATCCTGGGCTGCATCAAAAGAAGCGTGGCCAGCAGGTTGAGGGAGGTGATTCTGCCCCTCTACTCTGCTCTGGTGAGGCCTCACCTGGAGTACTGCGTCCAGCTCTGGAGCCCTCAGCACAAGAAGGACATGGAAGTGTTGGAGCGGGGCCAGAGGAGGGCCACAAAAATGATCCGGGGGCTGGAGCACCTCTCCTATGAGGACAGGCTGAGAGAGTTGGGCTTGTTCAGCCTGGAGAAAAGAAGGCTGCAGGGCAACCTTATTGCGGCCTTTCAGTACCTAAAGGGGGCCTATAGGAAAGATGGGGACAATCTTTTTAGCAGGGCCAGCTGTTACAGGACAAGGGGTAATGGTTTTAAACTAAACCAGGGTAGGTTTAGACTAGATATAAAGAAGAAATTCTTTAGAATGAGGGTGGTGAAACACTAGAACGGATTGCCCAGAGAGGCAGTGCCAAGGCCCCATCCCTGGAAACATTCAAGGTCCAGTTGGACGGGGCTCTGAGCAACCTGATCTGGTTAAAGATGTCCCTGCTCACTGCAGGTGGGTTGAACTAGATGACCTCTAAAGGTCCCTTCCAACCCAAAATATTCTATGATTAATCAGGGAATGAATAATTCTGCAGTGTTTTTCCACTTGAAAAATTCTCATTTTCCCTGTAAGGCTGCATCAGGTAAAGTCATCCTATACAGTGTTCTTCTAAACTGGGGGGGAAAAGAAAAAAAAAACCAAACCAAACCAAAACTGTACTTTGAACAGTCTTACTTCTATTTGGTCCACTTTCTAGGATACCCTTCTAGCTTGACAGGACTTAAAATGCTCTGTTTCAGATGTTCTTGTAACTCCTCCATTAGAAGGGAGCTCAGTAGCAGGTTCAGAAGCTCAGCTCTGAAACCACTGAGAAGAGTTGGTGGCCTAATAAAAGGGTAACAGACTGCAGAGAAGGTATTCATCCCCGACTAAGTCATTAATATCTATTGTTCCCACGTCTAAATTTCATTGACCCATCTGCTCCAATCATCTTATCTCACTCTCTTCTATTTGTTGCAAACACACAGAGGAGGCCACCACAAAATATCATCAAACGTCTTTAGCACAGCTCTGCTTCTCCAACATAAGACACCACCTTGACTTCAGCATCCTGATGAAGAAGTTGCAAAGAACTACCTTGACAGTGCTGTTTAAAACAAAGTTGCTTTCAGAAAGGACAGCATCCATTTACAAATCTCAGCAAAAGTAAGGTAAAACTTCAGATTTGTGCCCTAAATCCGCTGCCAAATTAACTTTGGAAATATACGTACTACAGTTTTACAGAAGTCAAGCATCTGATTAACAACAGGTAGAACTAATGCTTCTCAATAGTACTGCACCTGCAATTCCCAAAACCAGAACTTTATTTACATTTTCATTATGAATTGAACTAGAACAAAACTGATGCAGCACATGAAATACACGTGCAGTTGACACCTTCACCTGCACAGCCTGAGGAGAGATCAACCCTCCCAAACCCACAGAGTGTTGCAATACAGATGAAACACCTAAGCTCTCACTTTAAAAATAATAGGGTTGGACATGAGGGTATAAACACCAATTAAAGCTCTCCCTTTGATCTTTGTAAAATATTTAATGAAATCTCCCCAAAGTGACAAAAATACTATAAAACTGAACTTCAAAGATAGCCCTTTTCTCCAATTATCAAAAAACCCCAACTTACCTTTCCCTTTGAGCTAAACTAGGTACTTTTATGCAGGATGAGTAGTTCTACTGAGTGTTCACAGTCCCATTATCTTGTTACTTTAATTGCTGAGCTAAATTTACATTTAGAAAATTTCATTCTTTCTTGAAAAACAGAGGAAGAAAATGGCAGGGACTTAGCAACGGATGTGTTATAAACATAGTATTACAAAATCCGCTCTGTATTTGCAGCTTGCTGTCCCTCAGCTAAGTCAATGATGAATACTTTCAAAGTTTTCTTCAATTTTTTGTATTTAATAATTTTCAAAAGTAATAAACACTCTAATAGCATTTTCCATTCTATGTCCAGAGATCTGTTGTCACTGTAGTATTAATTTAATAGCTAATGTGCATTACTCATATTTATATGCAAATACATGTGGTATTAGTCCAACATGCAGACAACTGAGAGGCAGCTGCTTAGAAAGATGCATTTATGCATTTTAAGCCACCCTGACCCACTAGTGTCAGAAGATTTGTTGATCCACTATGTTTTCCTTCAGGTGAAGAGAGGGAACATTTAAACAGTTCGTTCTGCTGCATGTTAAACTGGTCAGTGTTTTGGCCATCTCTCTCTTTCAGATTTTGTGCATAGGAGAAAAGCCTTCTGTGCAGGCTGCTGTTTTTAACACACGTAAATGCAAATACAGTTGTTTTTCTGTTCTTCAGGGAGTCTTCTTCTTGCTTTTCTGTTCTTCCTTAAGCTCTTTCGCATTACATCTGGACCCCAATGCTGTTAACATTTCTATTGTTGTCAAGTTGGCTCCCTTCATTAACAATCGCTCTCCATCAGCTGTAAAGGGAAAAAAAATTAACAAGTCACAAAGCTAAGTCACAATTACTTTAGTGCATGGTTCTGTTTTATATATATAAATCCAAATACCCTGTTTATCTTATCGGATTAGAAAGTACTCCACTGACCAAGGAATCTGATTATGCACCACCAAACAAATATATTAAACTGCACACAGTACACATGTAATTTTCATTTCTGTACTGCATTACTGAAAAATCCAAACCATTTGTCTAGATAGACCCATAGCAAGAACACGCATTTGATAAGAATAGCTCATACTATGCCCTCAAAGTCATCTAACAGAAGGCACTGGAAGGCATAATTTCCACACATGGCTCAGCATTTTAGCAGCATGTTGTCTATGGTCCGTTTAACTTACTTCTTTAGCCAAAACAATGAATTGGTTTACACAATCTGGTGGTTATAATGTAAAAAAATAGAGAGCATTAGGACTTCTAAAATTCTGAAATAAATTATTTTAAAACAGGGAGGAGGCAGTAGAAGTTAAGTACTGTACCTAAGCTGATTATTTATTTTAGCAAGATTTACAAATACAAAACCCATACTGAAACCCATACAATGCAATACCATGCATGGCACCCAAGTTCCAGCCCCATGTTTGCCAACTACAAGGGCTGCAAGCTCTTCACTTGGAAAATAATCAGATCTTAGAAAATGAAGAGTTCAGAGCTGTAGCTCTTGGCATTAGTGAAATAAATTGTTTTGGTTTTATGCTGTGAAAAACATTAAGCTTTACTGCTTAAGTCTTAATACATCACAGTTAGAGACAAGGATGGGAAAGACAGAGGCATGGGGGAAGGAGAAACAAGCAATGTCAACACTGAAATAACTAGACTTTACAAAGCAAAATGAAGTACATTAAACACTCTTGACATTTCTACTGATTCAGTAAATATATTCCTATACTTTATAGGAAGTTTAAAGAAAAAGGGAGTAGCAAGAATCAATAATAATGAAAACTTTATTGGGCTACATGACATATTGGTCCATTACAGCACAGCAGGAAAGAAGATGCAGCCAGAGAAAAGGACAAAAGCAGATTAGAGCCATCTGTTCACAGCCTAGAGTCTGGGCCACTTCCAGAACTGATGAAATTTCCACCATCAATTCCCTGCCTGCTCACTATACCCTCAAAGGAAACCAAGAAATTTATTGTACATCAGTTGACCCCATTCTTCAAGTCCATCTGCACATGCATGGTCTTATTCGTACGAACAGTTCCTTCAAAGTGCATAGTAAGCTACTCGGTTGCATAAACAACTAAAGGTATTCAACTTTTCTGTTATCAAGACCCAGATGCTTCCACCACAGATAACTTTATAAAAAAAAAAAAATTACAGAAAGTGAACATATTCTTGCATCAGAACAGAGCTACACTTACTTCCCTGGAAGTGTACCCGACTGCAAGGTCACACAAGTGTCATTACAAAAGTAGACGCAACCCTAAAGTTAAGTCAGTTCTTTGATCTAAGATCCACCAGATTGAACTGTAGTACAAAGATATATATATTCACACATTTATCTAGACATCAGGCTGTTAGTGACTCCCTTTTTTCCTCCCAGCCGCACAATGTGTAGCTATGGACCAAAACAAAAAAAAAGTAACCACAGTAACAAAAAATCCCATAGAGAAGACAATGGCATCATAACAACACAAACCCAGAAGGTGTTTTTTTGGTCAAGATTAAAAATGAGCTCCTTACCAAACATAACATCTACAAGTGGTTCAGACCCATCATGTCTCACATCAGCAGTCACTTCACAGTTTCTATTAGTGGCTTGGATTTTTTTATGGTGGATACATCCAAGAAATTTTCTGAAAATACATTTGAAAATATATTTAATATGTTGTAGATAGAAATTATAGTAAGTATATTTCTAAAACTAATCTGAATATCTTGATATTAGTATAAACAGAATAGGATATGTATTTAATCACTTCAGACAGGTACTTCTTATGAGATAATCACTCTTAAAAATCCAAATGGATAGTGCTTATATGCTAACATGTAAAAAGCATATCAAAGAATTTTGCAAAAATCCAGTGTACGCACTTTCTGCATTTCTCTGGGTTAGTAAATTTAGCTGGGTTAGTAAAAATAATAATAGAAAAAATCAGCAAAGTAATTTTCATTTTTATTTATACATTGGTTACTTGCCAATGTTTTATTGTTTGGGTTTCAGACAGCATTTATTTATTTATTTACCCTCATCAGCCTCCTGCAGACTTCTGCAACGCCTGACAGCTACTTGACATTCTGGTGGCTCAAAGATATTCTAAGTTAGGTTGTGTTACTAAGTTAATTTCAAAAGTAGATGTGTCTGCAAAGCTATTACGAAATGACATTTTCCAACGGTTTGGTGCAGAACTCAGATCACTCTAGAAGCACAATTACTTAGATGTCTCAAACAGTTAATTAATTACCATATAGAGCAGCAGCTATTGCCCCTCTCTCTCTCCCATTACCAGCATTTGGACTACAGATTACAGACCCTCACCTACAGGATCAGCAACTGAGAGGGGTCTCTCCCTGGGTGGTTTCGTAAAGCTAAATGCACATGCCTATATGCAAGGTTCTACGCTTAGGCACAGAAATCCGCCGAAAATCAGCAGAGAATGAATGCTGGGGGCATCCTGGTAACACTTACCATAAACACAGCCCTTATGACAAACACAGCGTCTTCTCATTCTGAAACCTTAAGGTTCTGCCTAGGCTAAGCTACAAAGCCCTGAGAAATGCAAGCCTTCAAAGACCAAGTACAGCAGATGCAGAAGTTTGGGAAAATGAGGTTCTTCTCCAGAGAGGGAACAACGGATGCTGCCAGTTCGCTCACGATTTGCTCCCAGGATGTCTTATTACTTTTGCTGGCTACAGCAAGCCACAGTGCCCTGCAGTGACAGCAGTTCTAACGACTATCATTCTGTCCCTGCCACCGCTGTGACCTGGGCGGCAGCCGGCTGGGG